GTTTACAGGCATCTAGGAGAGGATACCATTCTACCATCGAGAGAGCCACACCATTGAAGGAAGGAGGCTGGGAGTCGAGGGCTGATTTGCCAAGGTAGTAGACGAAAAGATGAAAAGGATACGGCCATCTTTGAAGTGGCAACAGGCGAGGTCAATCTCCTTTCAGTAACTTTAGCCCCCTTTTTCAATCCCCGAATATCGTCTCTTTTGGGATGGAAACAGCCGATGAGCGAGGAGCATAGCTTAAGAGCCAATCCAAGGGGTGAACCACCTCTCGCAAAGGGATGAAACAACTATGGTTAATACCCAGAGGAGGGGAGAAATGAGGGGGTTCAGGGAGAGGGTGGCAGGAGGGAACTCCAGACGAAGAGGGGGTAGAAAGTGGGGGGAGAGCCAGAGGATTAGTGGAGAGGAAACCAGGAGGTGAAAAGGAGAAGTGGCGAGAGGAGGAAGGCTTAAGGAGATGCGCATAATTGTGATACAGTGGAGGGAGAGCAACAGAGGGTAGGGGGCAGTTGGAGGTGACGTGCCAGAACAGAAGGTAGGGGGCAGTTGGAGGTGGTAGGAGGTGGAGTGTGGTTCATCATGGAGCTTGATATGTCAGATGTTCTACCCAGTATCACGAATGTTCCATCAGCTGAAACCCTGCAAGTAGTATACCATTCCTAACCAAAAAGATGGTCGGTAATACTAGCGCCACAGAATTTTGGATTCCCATCAGTGTTTTGTTGAGAATAGCAGCCACTACTCATTTATTTATTACTTATAATTAACCACATTGCATTAAACTTATCAATTGTAATCTTTTCCCTTTCTCAGAAAATAGCATATGTTTACCTATTGGACTTCATTTAAGCCTAAGCCAAGCCCAAGCCAAAGCCCAAGTCCAAGCCCAAGCCCAAGCCCAAGCCCAAGCCCAAGCCCAGAAGCATGCACAAGGATCCGAGCCCACCACCCTGTATTAGCACCCTGTATAAGCATAGATCACATACAGTAAATGACTGCTACCATTTAAATAGTTAACAGACATATTGAACTCCAAGGGCTGGCTTAACAAGGCCAGAGCTTACATAAATTTGTTAAATCTTGTCCAAAGGAAAGAACGTATTTAGACCCAAGAAAGAAACACAATGGGCGTCGAATTCATAAAGCGGACGTGGTGTATAAGGCTTTGGTTGTTAAATTGATATGGAAGTCAAGTAGGCTGGAAGAAATGTTCGGATAAGTACCTTATTAAGAAATGTGTAGACCTGCAGGATGGCAATAAGACGAGGTGTAGGTGGTGGCACAGAGAGAAAATTCATGTAGTTTTTCAGGACAAGGGCTATCACAAGAGACATGCAGAGCAAGTGAGGAATTCCTATTTTGATTCAAAATCGTAAAAAAATGTCCAGTTTCACTTTTATTGGTAAAGAAGATATCACAGCTGGAGTGGGGATTGAACTCCAGGCATGAATGGATAGGGTGCTGATGCTAACACACCTCATCTCAGGTTCGAATCCCACGGCCAACCTACCCCACCAAAAGAAATTTGCAGTTGGATACCAAACCTTAGAAGGAATCTACATAAGGAAGAGACAAAAGAACACGATAAGCTAGAATAAGTTCAGAAGTTTGTATTAGGAAAGAAGGGAGAAGCAACAGAGAGTTGTGGGAACTGGAAGCATTGGGAAGCTCTACTTTATCAAATAGATGAAAGAAGAACGTTGATTGAGGTCATCGAGGGTATGGTATCACTAGGGCTTTGCAAAGACCAAGAATGGCCACTTTCATGTATCAAACAATTCAAACCTCTAGAAACTGTAGATCTTTGGTCATTGTCCACATGACATAGTATATTCAGAATAACGATAGTGAATTTTAAGTGTTTTGTGGAAAGCCTTGGCCTTAAATTCCATTCATACTGAAGTACAGGAGGCCTTGGCATAGGGTTTAAGGGTGACTCCCATTAGTATGGAGGTCCAGGCCATGATATGTGGCTTTAAGGATTGGAAATCATTCAGGATGAGCTTGGAAGAAACTTGTGAGGATTTATTGTGAAAACTTCAAATCATGGACTTCAACCATATTGCAGGAAAGGCGAACACTACTGATAGGTCACCTAATTCAAATATAAGGAGGATACCATAAGTATAGGATAATTCACCACCTTAACTTCATGCCCCATGGACTCACTAGCTCTAAGTTTGTTTTCTCAAATGCACCACTTATGGACGACATAACATATAATAACGACTAGATGGCAAAGGACCTGCCACCATTTTCCTTTTATGATGAACCCAGGTCCCACATTTTTGGCTCCAATGCCATTTACATTTGTTAAATGTGAGTGAGTATGACACTGGTAGCATGTCAAGTTGAACATAAAATGGATGACAATTCCTAATATACAAGATCCAACACATATTGATGAATAAATTGCCCCTTCCAAACAGTATGGATGCACCAAGATTGTAGACACAAGAATAAGAAAATACCTTTACAAGCTTTTAGAAAATCAATAATGCCCAAAAAAAGCTCAAACAGTTCGCATAAATAGTACATCTCACCAAAAAGAAACAGAGTACACATATATTTAGACCACTAGCCCACAACCTGCAGAATGCACAACCACAACCAATCAAATTATAAATAAATTTTCATATTTAAAACAGATACAAATTATTTTTAAAATAATATTCAATTTTTGAAATGAAAAAGATGGTATTATATCCCTTTATTTAATTGAAAAAAAAGAAAACTAATGGAGTTGAGAAAACTTTGGAAATTTATTAAACCCCATTTATTACTATTGTATTTTGTAAGGTAACATCATTTTTCATATCCCTTATTTTTGGCAAATACTTTTAAATTAATAATTTTTCTTAATTAAAAATTTAAACATTAAGAGAATACATATTTTCTAAATTATTTGAAAAAAATTCAATTAAATGGTCAAACCACATTACAAAATCATTAAGGTGGTCAAATCATTCCAAGTAACATTAGGATGGTTACTTCTGAAGTTTCACTACAGTCAGGTATCTCCTTAAAAAAATGTTCAACAATGACCAAATTACCCCTGTTCAAGATAGGGAGCCCTAAATAAGCAGGGAATCTTAAAAAGTTAAGGGCATTTTCGTAATTTAGCCTCCTTAAGTGCCCAAGCCAAATGACACGGATACGCCTGATTGCTCACAACAAGGAAAACAGGACAAGGGTTTACAATGAACAAAAATGAGTTTTGAGTAGCCAACCATGAACAAAAAGTAACCATTTCAATGTTAAATAGAATGTTTTGGCAGCGTTAACGATTTTGTAAAGTGGTTTAATCATTTGAGTGATAGTCCCATACTATTTTAAAGAAAACAAAAATTAGAAAGTAAAAGTTTATCTGAATCCAATACATCTTGGGTAACCGTATTTACTAGGACTCCCTTATATTTTAGGACACTCCTATTTTACAAGAGAATATATAGCACAAATCCCGATCCCTTCTAGATCAGGATTCTCAAATCTAAATATATTTGTACTAGGACTCTCATCCAAGAGGAAAAGATGTGACTCTTTTTTTCGATGGTTATGGTCAAATCAATAAAGAGGCAGGCTGTGATTGCATGACGATGATGGAGAAATAGACATCACAATAAATTCAGTATATAGATTAACACATGGAAGACATCTCATTGTCTACTGTAGAAAGGATTCAAAAGATGTTAACAGGATCGCACAGCCAATGCCACCAATCCGCTATGCAACTCAGGATGGCAATCGTGATACCCAAAACGTCCTGCACCTTTGGTTCCCAAACTTTCACATAATCTCTATCACCTAAAAGTCCTTCAGAAGATATGCAAGGTTACCTTCAAACAATCAGCTTCCCACATGCTCCTCACTGTTTCATTTCTTATATGTAGGTGTCATTAAACAAGAAGTGAAGTTTTTCTAATTAGCACAAAGAAAAGCTCTCTTTCTAGTTCATCATGTTTTAGGTAATGCTTTTGTGCTTACCACTGTGACACTGTCGATGACCACTCTTTCACTAAGTTTCATTTTAGTGTAGGAATTCAAAGAGCATACAAAGACCTAAAATCCACCCTGGTTGTACACAAGGCATGCCATCTATTTCAAAAAACAAGGTATCCCACATTTGAAAAAAAAAATGGAATTCCTCTTTCTTTCCACACTTGGGATTCTTACTAGACACCTAAATTGACATATCGAAGGTATCTGGGCTAGTTGTGTCCAAAAGCTTAGATCCATGTGAAGCTGAGTCTAAGTCCATGCAAGAGTGACTTAAACTTCCCCATGTATTATAGGGTCTATAGATCTAATTCAGTTTTCTCAGTTTGATCAGACTGTCTTCTTCATATGTCAAATGTTCTATAGGAAAAATCTAGAAAGAGGGATGCTGAATGGATAAGAAATATTAGCAAATTATATAAAGTGAAATCATACCATGCTGATCCAATCATCCGAGAACGTTTGTCTCTCACAGCATGAGCCAGCATATGCAAACCAGTCATCACATTTAATGCACAACACTCGGCCAACCCAACATAAATAATTAAAGAACACAGATGCGATCATAATGAGCTCACTTATTCCAGATGAGGGGCTTTCCAGCTAACATAGTACAAAATATAAATTGAAAAGATGCTTGATCTATTTGTACCGATTAATAAAAAGAAATTGATTATTTTCTTGGTCAAAACAAAATCTCAGCATCACAATAATGGGTCTACTATATCCATCACAATAATGGGTCTACTATATCCCTCACCTACTCAATATTGATATACATTTGGGTAAATATACCAAGTTAAACCATCTTGCATGTCATTGTTATCTACATTTATAATTCTCACATAGCAAATAAGAAACACTTGCAGTAATAATAGATAGTCATTTAATAAAAGCAAGATGCTCTTATTGCAGAAAGTACACGTAAATCAAAGATATCATCACTTATAACACCATGACATGAAGCATAAGAGACCATAATATATTTTTAAGCAGACCTTCACATTTGAAGTTGTTGAAGAACCTGAACCACTAGCTGGTTGCGTAAACATTTGCTTATGGACTTCCAAATGCAATTCCGGAGCCTACAAGATTTACATTCATCACATACTCAAGCAGCAAAAGAAAAAGAAGAAATAAGATGTTAAGATCATAAGAGGACAATGGTTCATTGGTAACTCCTGAACTGAACATATAGGAATGCATATAGCTATTTGAATACATATGATTTAGTAACTTGGAAAGAGGATCAGATAAGTAGTACCTCCGAAATAATGGTTGTAACCCAGACAATAACATAAAACTACCACGTTGGATAAGTAAATAGAGTAAAAATAGCGTAAAATAATTATTATTACTTCTACTATTGTTATTATTATTTATTACTACTATTAAAACCACCCCCAACAACAATGACGACGACGGTGGACAACAACAAAAACAACAGCAGCAGCCGCAATAGTAACATAATAAAAACATAATTTATTTAAGCTATTTATAACTTAGAGAACTTACTCTAGGGTAAGGCAAACATGAAAAGATGAATGCATGATACCATAGGGTTTCAAATAAACAAATTGTAAATTTTAAAGAAAATTTTGTTTGAGCTAAAATCACTTGTGAAGAAAAGGCCAATGAATCAAAAACCTTCATGAGGGCATAAGTGTGAGTATGCCCAGGTTCAAAAGAACATCAAAATATCGGATACATAACCTAATATGAAAGTGCGGACACCATCCAACATGGCCACATGATATATATGCATATTGTCAATATATCCTATAAAAGTCAAGATCATAGTTACCCAAATCTCTCACGAAAGGTTGCGACGGATTCAGCGATTCCGACTAGGAATCTTCACGGACGTTTCCTTGACGTCTAGAATCTCAATTCCTGATTTTGCAATCAAGATTTTTGTGAAGTCTAGAATCTCGATTCATTATTTTAGGAACCTTGATTCTAACACTCATAAAATCTCATTTCCCATATTTACTGATTCTCGATTCCGCAATTAATCAATCTCGATTCTACACTTGTTGATACTCGTTCAGAATTCTACAACTTCCCCCTTTTTTTCTTTTTGCTTTTTTTTAGAAGTGATGTTTAGAAGTTTTCAAGGCATCAAACTACTCAAGCTAGACAATCAATCTCAAGCTACAAGATGTGACTTTTTTGGCATGAAATGACCAGTAGAAACCAAAGTAGCGGTCCACGTTATCTACTTAATTCTTACACATGCATTTTATTGATCCAATGGAAAGATTGCAACTTCAAGATGTTAGAAATTATGTAAACGTGCATGTATGCCATGTCGGTCAATGAATGGCATTGAGACACTCCCCTCTCAATTCCAAAGATGTCAAAAACTTGATTCCAGAAATGAAGGAATCATGATTCTATATTTGATCGATTCCAACTCGGTTGAAAATTCTATTCCAAAGAGCTAGGAATCTAGATTCCATGTATGCAAGGATCTCGATTCTGCTTTGATTCGAATCTCGATTCCCAAAAAGAGGAATCTCATCCCCCAAGATTCCTCTTGCACGGACATAGATTCTGAAAAATATGAATCTTCCAGCCAGCGGCGATTCCTAAATCGATTCAATTTCCAAATCGCTTTGGATAATTGTGGTCAAGATCACCCAATACGACAAACTAAATTTGAGCTTAATTTCGGCTGCTATTTATAGCATAAGAGCCAATATAGTGTTTTCCATGTTTTTGAGAAATATCAGCAATATAAACCATTATTTCTTGTGAATACTAATAAATAAAAATTAGCACTCCAATTATATTTATTATAACATTTGCTATATCCGATATTTTCCGAATATCACCCATTACAATGTTACTTTGAAAAACAATTTTTGCTTTGTTTTCTTTATCTTAGAGCCTTTTTTTTTGTTTGAGCCACCAATACGTTACATATTGGTGAAAGACATGAAAGTGTAGAATTCAAGGCTAAAATCAATTTTTTTCCCTCTTTTATTAATCAATCTGAATTCCACTTATAAGTGTCACAATACAGTGTTGTAAATAAGAAACAAAACCCTAAATACAACTTAGGACCTTTGCTTTTATTATCAAATTGAATAGACAATCCAAGAATGAAAAAAAACAAACTCCCACTAACAATTTAAGTACAAATACTATTCCTCAAAATTCAGAATAAATAAGCAAGTATGACTTAAAAATAAAATAAACAACAGGGAAAACTTACTAGCAAGTAGCCTTAGGCTACTCTATAATACTTAGCACACCCCACATCTGATTTCATGACCGATTGTGCTCTCTGATCCTATTAGCTTTGCTGAATTTTCTAAGCCAAGAAGCTTCCTTAGGCAATACCTCACTTAACTATGCTTTTAGAGAGCATAAACACAATTAGAGTTTATTGGACCCCCTTTAGAACAATTAAGGCATACCTCAAGGCACCTCCCTTTTGCTAGGGCTGGGCGTGCCTCCATCTTAAACCCCAACCAGGATTGGTGTGTGCCACCCCTAAAGCCTTATGGGGTGGTGTGTCACTTAGAGAGAGAAGAGAGAGAGAATTAGAGAGACACGAGAGAGGAGTGGGGCATGGAGGAGAGAGAGTCAAGAGAGACAAAGAGACTAGGAAATAATGTGTAGGATTTTAGGAAATCTGTAAAGTGATAAATAAATCTGAGCCATCCATCCCATAAATCAGCCATCATGATTTGGGAAAGAATATTAGAAACCTTATCCCCTGAATCTCTGACCCATATCCACTTCTAGTCAAACTAGGATAAGATCAATTTTAAAAGAACCTTCTAGAACTTCCTTTATCTCTTTTAAAATTGTAAGAAGTCAAAAACAAAACATTTTGGTCAAAGTTATTATAAAAAACTAAGTCCCATAAAGAAGGCCATAATCTTGATTTAAAAGATTACCTTAACTAACCCAAAAAACACTTTTAATTGAAGCATAACTTAAAAAGAATAAAGAGAGGAGGGGGCATGCCACCCCATGTGGGAGGTGTGAGCCCCCATGGGCTCCACGCCCCACCCATGTGGTGTGGTACAAAAATAGTTGTCAGAACCTTGTAGGCAAGCTCATGGACCCAGTCCAGAACCTCGATTTCATGATTCCAGTCAAGGATCTTGGATGGAACACTGATCCCTATATTGTGATCCTCATTTCTAAGAGGTTTGGACCATGGTTCTCAAGTGTAAGATGCAGATTTCTCTACTCAACACCGACTCAAATGCCCTTATTCAAGTTTGTGCCCAATGGTAATCTGAACCTACACAAAATTTGCGGATCCCTTATAACTCAATCTTGTGATTCCTATATCATTGGAATCGAGATTATCTATGACAAGGATCGAGCTCCCTTGATATATGATTGTACAGACGACAATCCTAACCACAAGGATCTTCCACCAATCCACAATTCAGCAAACCTGAACAAGTTTCTGTTCTTGGGGACATCTACGGGAACACGAGGGGCTGGATCCAAGGCCCCCACATGTGCCCCACCACACAAACACAATTTCGAAAATACCCTTTTCATGATTGGCTCCTCAAAGTTGGTCAATAGATAGTAGAATCATAGTCCCGAAATGTGGATTACAAATTCCTCCCTTAAGGGCAAGTCACATGCACATATCGTTATAATGCAAGGGGGGTCTCGCTATGCACATGCACCTGTATCCCTTTACAGGGTTGTTTCCCAATAATACAGTTGTCATGTGTAGGTGTTGTGTGGAAGTTTGTTGAGGATTTAGCCCTTGCTCTTACATGCATACATCCACACATAGGAGACCACACAGCTCTCCTGGCTTATTAAACACCCTTGGACATATCTCCGACCTCAACAAGAGATGACCTCTGTGAACCGTTTTCGTTAGTGCCATATGCCCAAGGGTAAAGGTTTTGGACATGATCAGGGCCATGAACCGTTTAACCCTACGCCAGTAAACCAACATACAGACTCCCAATGAAGTGTATAAAAGATTTTTACATGCTCTCACAGCGTTTAAAGGCTACAAACCCCAGCATATCCTACTTGACCATGAAGGTCGTACAACCATTCCCTTTGTCTCTCTCAAAACCATCCCATGTACATGCTTGGCAAATACATTTGCTACCAATCCTTTTAATTAAAAGATCTATTGACATAACCTCTGTTAGAAGATAAGAAACCTCGATCTCTCCTGCTCAGATCTCGTAGCAAATGTGGTAGTTGTCCGCCTTAATGTGCCTTAATTTATTGTTAAAACGTGACCCTTTGGCACACAAATTGCTGCTTGGTTGTCACAGAGGATACTTACACGCTGGCACTTCATTTGATCAAATCTGAGTTGATTCAGGAACTTCTTCTCTTATTCTAAGAGACAACAAACCACATACTTTGACTCCATTGTCGAGGGTGCAGGGCTCTTTTAATAGCCTTCCACTGCTTCATGTCTGGCCTTGGATTATTCTAGAACCTACTAATCACATGCCTAGCAAATGATAAGTCCGGTCTTATCCTTGACATGGCAACATCAGTGACCCAACTGCACTTTTGTACGAAATTATTTGCATGGCCTCTATTTCTTCGAAGTTTAGGGGAACACATGGCTAGGCTTAACTTGGTCTTCGTATCAATGGGGGTTAATATGGTTCGACAATTTTCCATTTCAAATATTTCTAGTATTTTCTTGCAATATGTCTCTTGAGATAACCGAATAGTTCTCTCTCTTCTATTTTTGGTGTTCTTGATTCTCAAAACATATGAAGCCTACCCAAGATCTTTCATATCAACGTATAGTGACAAGAAAGCTTTGTTTTTAATACAAGTCATTGAACTACTGGCAATTAACATGTCATCCACATATAGGGAGATGAATACAAAATCTCGCCCACTGACATTGACATGTCTACAATAACCCTCGTGATTAGGTACAAAACCATATTTCAACAAGGTCTTTTGAAACTTAATATACCACTACCTCAATGCTTGTTTAAGGCCATAAAGGAATTTATTAAGTCTACACACTAGGTTTTCGGTTCGCTTTTTTATGAAGCTCTCTGGCTGTTTCATGTGGATTTCTTCTTCTAGCTCCCCATTTAGAAACGCA